GCGTGAGGCTCCCCAGGGCACGGTTGGCCCTCCTGGCTGCCAGGGCACGCTGTTGGCTCGTGTTCAACTTGCTGTCGACCAGAACCCCAGATCCCTCTCCGCAAGGCTGCTCTCCAGCCTCTCGTTCCCCAGTCTGTACGTACATCCAGGGTCGCCCTGTCCCAGGTGCAAAATCCGGCACTTGCCCTTGTTAAACTTCATCTGGTTGGTGATTGCCCAGCCCTCTAATTTGTCCAGATCTCTCTGCAGGGCCTCTCTGCCCTCCAGAGTGTCAACAGCTCCTCCCAATTTTGTGTCATCGGCAAACTGTGATAACAAACCTTCAAGTCCTGCATCCAAGTCATTTATGAAGATATTGAAGAGCACTGGCCCCAAGATGGATCCCCGTGGGACCCCGCTAGTGACTGGTTACCAGCCCAATGTAACGCCATTTACTATAACCCTTTGAGCCCGACCCATCAGCCAATTGCTCACCCATTGCATTATGTGTTTATCCAGCTGTATGCTGGGCATTTTGTCCAGGAGGATACTGTGAGAGACAGTATTGAAGGCTTTACTGAAGTCCAAAAAGATTACATCGACGGGCTTATCCTGGACAACTAGGTGGGTAGCCTTGTCATAGAAGGAAATCAAGTCTGTCAAGTAGGACTTTCCCTTTGTGAACCTGTGCTGGCTGGGGCCAATGACTGCGTTGTCTTTCAGGTGTTTTTCAATAACTCCTCGAATAATCTTCTCCATAATTTTGCCAGGCACAGGAGGACCAAGAGATCACTCCATTTTCCCAATTCTATCACTTTCTACTATTTTACCCCCCCAAAACATCAATTGCCTGTGTGACTTCATGGTGCTTCTCAACAGTGAACACCACGGGCTGATTACATGCTATGTGACTGCCCGTGGATGGGAACAGGGACAGGGATGGGGCTGCCCCTCTGTGGGTACAACACAGTGCTCTGCCACTCCCCAGCCCTGCAGGCTCTGGGGTGTCCTGGGAGGCCCTCCTCTTGCCAAGCCTCACCCATCACTGAGCGACCTGGTGTGCCCCAAGCCCACTGTTGTGGCTGGCACCACGCCACCTTGTCCCAGGAGAGCAGCATCCCTGGAGCCCTGGGGTGGGGGACCAAGCACGGGCTGCAGCCCACCCCCATAATCTTGACCTGCCCCATCATGAGCACTGGACCTCTTCTTCCACGTTGTTTGCAGCAGGTGATGAGGACGAGGACGAGTCCGGTGAGGAGCGCCTGCCATCCTGCTTCGACTATGTGATGCACTTCCTGACCGTCTTCTGGAAGGTGCTGTTTGCCTGCGTGCCCCCCACCGAGTACTGCAATGGCTGGGCCTGCTTCGTCGTCTCCATCCTCATCATTGGCATGCTCACAGCTGTCATTGGCGACCTTGCCTCCCACTTTGGCTGCACCATTGGCCTCAAGGACTCAGTGACTGCCGTCGTCTTTGTCGCCTTTGGCACTTCTGTACCAGGTGGGGTGACCACGGGGAGGAGACAGGGTGGGAGGAAAGTCCTCTGGCAGCTCTCCTATCCCAGGGGAGCAGCTCAGCCATGGGGATGGGGTTCTGGCTGGGAAGGGGCTCCACAGTGCCCTGTCCCCAGGCAAGGTCTGCACCCCACTTGGTGGCAACATGGGGTCCCTGGACCCAGGAGGGGGGGTGTGCACCAGGAGAGATCCATGTCCCAACCTGGCCAGTGCCACACCTGAGCCTCCCTTGTCCCCAAGACATGAAGGGTTGCCCATTTCTCCTGTTGGACCCCCAGTGATTTCTCCTTCCCTCCTCCCCCAACCCCAGACACGTTTGCCAGCAAAGCCGCGGCCATCCAGGACGTGTACGCCGATGCCTCCATCAGCAATGTCACGGGCAGCAACGCCGTCAATGTCTTCCTGGGCATCGGGCTGGCGTGGTCAGTGGCAGCGATCTACTGGGCGTCGCAGGGGCAGGAGTTCCAGGTGTCGGCGGGCACCCTGGCCTTCTCCGTCACCCTCTTCACCATCTTCGCCTTCATCTGCATCAGCGTCCTCCTCTACCGCCGGCGGCCCCACATCGGGGGGGAGCTGGGCGGCCCCCGGGGGTGCAAACTGGCCACGACGTTGCTTTTCGTCAGCCTCTGGCTGCTGTACATCCTCTTCGCCACCCTGGAGGCCTATTGCTACATCAAGGGGTTTTAGGCGGTGGAGGGACGGTGCCGCCGGGAGGAGGGACCCCCTCCTCCATTACCTCACTGGACACCAGTCCTGTAAGCGTGGTTTCACCAGAGGGGACGGCTGTCCGTCAGAGGCTGCCGCTGCCCAGACAGTTGGACGGCTGGGTGCCAAGAAGAGCAAAACCATCACAGAGTGAAAAAAAAAAAACCCAAACAAAACCCACCCAGAGTGATACAAAAGAAAAGAAAGCAACAATGGCAAGTGTTGAAATAAAACAAAACACAATAAACCCAGCCACTGACCCCATTCAATGAGATTAAGAAGTTTCAGCCATCTCCAAAGGCCACCTCTCCCATAGGGGCTTGTCTGCTTTCCTCCCGAGCACCCCTCCACTGTAAGGAGACGTTTTCTTATTTTTACTGGTTGGGAATTGCAGAAGGCTGATCAGGAGTTTGATTTTTTTTTTTTTTTTCCTTTTTTTCCTTTCATTTGCTTGTTGCTTTTTGATTTGGGAGGGCACGCTGCTTGATTATGTTTTTTTTCTTTTTTACTACTAAAACAGAAAAATGTTAAAAATCTACTCTAAAGCTTCAAGCTGCCGTCAGTGCTGGAATTGAACGTGTATTTTTTGAAGCCACAAAAGACTGTGACACAGTCAAAGAACTTTTTCAGTATTACTCGTTTCCTCCCTCGCCGCCTTCCATTTCTTTCTTTTTTAAGAGCATCACAAAACTGATATATTTTTAATACAAACACAGACACACACATTCAGTGACAAAGGCTGGAGCATGTAGCATCTCAATCACCTGCCTGGGCTAAGAAAAAAAGGAGGGGGAAAAAAAAAACCAGACCCCAACCCTCTAATATAATAAGTATCATGTATATTTTGACTATGGCATTTCTCTTTGTATAATTAACTTTGAGCTTGTGGTACTGCAGGGAGAGAAAATTATGTTAATTTACAACCGATAAAGAAATAAATGGCTACCCAGGAACAGCCTGCCCTGGGGGGAGCAAGGGGGCGAGGGAAAGCGGTACCGGCTCCTTGGGAGGGTGGTGGTGGGTTTGCTGTGTGATCCTCCTGCTCAGAGGTGGAAATGAATTCAGGAAAACCCGGATAGTTCCCAGTGCCATCCCACCCCGAGCTGTGGCATGGCTGCCCTTTCACTTGATTGCTACCCCAGTTTTCACAGCACCCGCATCTTGCTGGTGGTCTTCAGGCCATTGAAAGGTACGGGCTGAAAAACTGCCACCCACGCCAGGACTCTTGTAGCATCTCGAGTACCTTTTAGGAACACCAGACAGACAAAAAGGCATCCTTTTCATTTGAAGTGCATTTCTTTTTAAGAAAAAAAAAACAAAACAAAACAACAAACCACCACGAGAGTATGTCATGAATTACATCAATGGCTGCAAATTGAAATGTTGGGTTGGTAATCAAAATAAATAAAAACTATACCTATATCTATATAAACAGTGCTATCTAGAAACATATTTCTTAATTGAGAGCCCTGGAAGAGGGTGTTAAAACCTTACTCTTTGTAAAGTGTTTTCAAGATGAAGATAATGTCTTCTCTCAAGAAACAGGTGCTGTAAAGGGAAACATTTTCTTCATAAAGTTCCCTATAATAAGCCAAATCTGTGGAGGCGGCAAGAGAGGGGTTGCGAAAAGGTACGTCTCTGCCTGCTGCAGTGCTTTCTGCTGCCCCAGGAGGCAGGGAGGAGGTGGCCACAGGTTAGGAGAAAAGCAATGGGAACAAGATTGTCACGGACAAAAAAGAGATGTAACATTATAGGAGGTGACTAGATGAGAGTGATGATGGTCCTTAACACACAGATGAAGTATTTATTTTCATACGAAATGTTTAGCAGATACCTATATCTCTATATAAATGTGTATACACATAGGGCAGAGAAGGATCCTTCCCAGAGGAGCAGCAGGAGTTTTTTCAGTGGGAGCCCACCATGGGTGAAAGCCAACAAGCATCCGACCTCCTGCCTTACCCTCCCTTCACCATGCCTTTGGGAAAGGGCATGAAAAAGGGCCTTGGGGCCAGGCTCCCACCGAGCTTGCTGGTCCTTCTGGCTTCTAGCCGTGCCAACAGCCACCGAAGCAGCTGCTCCCACCACCGGCCACCACCGGCCACCACCACCGCTGCCCACCAGCCGGGGACCCCAGAGCACACACGTGTGACACTGAGAAAAATTACAGAAGCCCCCCAAATGCTCTCTGGGAGGGTTTAAAGTGCAGCTCTCAAGGGGAATTGTTATCACTGCTGTTTTTAATTTGGACATACAAAGTTTGTTGAGCTCTTATTTTACCCGTGCCAGCTCACCCACCCCTGGGTAAAGCCCAGCCTGGGGAGCTGCCGTGCCGTTCTTCTGTTGCTTGTGCTGTGTCCACCATGTGCTTTTCATCCGCTTCCTTCTTCAGCTGACCTCGGGGAGGGGGCGCGGGGGCAGGACTGGGTGCCACCACTGCCAACTGCATGGGGACCTTGGTGCCCTCCATGCATGCGGGCCATCTGTGCCAGGCCGATGACACGTGGAGTGTTTCTTTCTTTTATTTTTATATTTTACTTCATTAAAAAATATGCAAGCTGAAAAAAAAGCAAGTTTGGTGCCTTTGGGGATTTTTATTTTTTTGCTGAGGCTTTTATGTTTTATTTTTGGGTCTAGCTATCTGCTTGCTCCTGTTTTCCTTTGGGCAGGTGCCTGGACTTGGTCGCCCCGGCTCTGGCTGGTTTGCTCCCGCCATCCACCCCAGCCCTCCCGTTCGGTACTGCTGGGAGGACCCCGCAGCGCTTGCCCCTGGCTGGCTGGCAGAGAGGAGATTTTGCTGGTGTTTTTGTTGTCCCTGCTTCTTCCCCTTTGTTTCTCCCGTCAGCTTCCCGTGGTAGCCTGCAATAACAGCCGCTGGCCTCTCTCGGCAGCCCTCACGCGCCGGGCGGCACACGCTTACTTTTCAGCCTCCCTCTCCCCTCCCTCCCCGCTCCTCACCAAGGCCCGTTCGCTGCTGCGGTTGAGGATAAATAACACACCCTGACATCAGGAGGGAAAAGCAGAGGTGATCAGAGGAGCTGCTTTGTCCCTGGGGCCTGCCATGGCATGAGGGCATAGTCTAAGGACCACGCATGGTGCGGGGCCAGCGGTACCTCTAGCTGCCTTCCCACCGTTGCTGCCAGGCGGGCACCCCCAGCACCCTACGGGTTTTACCGTCCAGGTGCACTGCAGAGATGTCAGTCAAAAAAATCAGCCTTTGGGTAAAAAGCAGTTTTGCAAAGAGGCATCACTCATCCGTCCCTCTCAAGCTTGCTGGGAATCGTGCCCCAGGTTCGGCCAGTACCATGCTGCCTTCTGACCCAGCATCGCCACTGACTGTCTTTTTCCACTTGTATTTGGACCCTTGACCCCAAAAAAACCCTTTACAGTGAGCTTTGTGCCAGAACTGTCCCCACGTGCCTTTCTGCAGCAAAGGGGTGGCTGGTGCAGCCCATAACCCTAGTGGGAGCCCAGCCTTTGCCTGCCCCCAAGCCAGGGGGAAGCACACATGCTCCAGCTCCGGGAAAGGGCCCATTGCCTTTGACTTCAGTGAAGGGGCTGGGGGTGGTGGGGGGTTGCGACCCTTTGGCTGGCTGCCACCACTGTGCAGAAGCATCCCAGTCCCCACAGGTGCTGAGGCTTACGTGCAGGACCGCGGGGCGCTGTCCTGGAGCGAGCTGGGCTGAGTGACAGGAGCGCAGAGGCATCTGGGAATCGGGTGCAGTACGGTACAGTGGCTAGAGCCACTGAGCAAAGGTTTTAAGCCAGGGAGGAGGCCCTTGCAGATCTCAGAATGGGCTTTGTCACCTTTTTCACAATTACTGTGTTGTTGGTGCAATCAAGGCTCTTCTGGACAAGCACAAATTAAACAGAAAAATATTCTGTGATGCACATTTCTTCTGATTCCATCGCTGGGGCTGCTGGACTGCGTTGTAAGCCACTTGTCCCTGGTACAGGAGGACCCCCCCACACACCCTCCATCCCAAAGCAGCAACACGACCTCACCTCACAGCACCACCTGCAAGGAGAAGCCCCCATCAGCTGTGTGTGCCACATCAGGCTTCAACCACCCTGGCCCACTGCCACAGTGGGATGATGCCTACCTTCATGTCTCCACCAGCATAGCACTTTGCTTTGGGAAACCATTTTGGAGGACACCTGGTACTGTTGTACCTGGACAATGTTGAGATAAAAGGTTGCTAACAAGACCTTTGAGGAATGACCATCATCCAGTTCTTGATAGCACAATAGGATAGATACAGATAATAACAGAATGGTATCCAGGAGATCTGGTCATGCTTGAACATGCCACCATTCAAAGCCAAGAAATTTCAACCCATCCTCGTTTGCACTTTGGTGTTAGCTGGCGGCAGGTCGTTCCTCATATCATTCACCTGGAATTGTTTTTTTTTTTTTTGGGGGTGGGGCGGGGGGCAGAACAGACAAAAGCTTTTTTGGGTTAATTCTGCCAGGGAGTGGTCACAGCCCTGACCTTGGTGTGGGAGCCAGCCCGCACGAATGGGAGCAGCAGTTGCTGAGCCCTGGCCAGCCCTGGTCACGAGCTGAAAAGCACTTGTCACCAAGAATAACCTTTGGGGTACTATATGGAAAAAAAATGTTTTTAATGACTGTTGTCATCTGTGTGCGTGTGCCAGTGGCAGCCAGCTTGTTAATAACAGAGCTATGTGTGCCAGTGGTGCCTAGCGCCCAGCAAAGACAGGGCTCCCAACTTGCCCCCACAGGGGAAGGGATTAAGGACCTCCCAGTATTTAAATAAGCTGTTTAAAATATCTAGATAATTAACACCATGAGTAGGTTTACCCGCCCCACATACATACACATTTGCCTTCCCTTCGTCCAGGGGGGGTCTGTGCTTTGCCTGGCAGCATGTGGTGGTGGAGAGAGACCAGCTCTTACTCACACTTGGCCCTGTTGCCAGCAGCAGAAACCCTTGGCCCCTCTCCATGTCGAACTGGGAAACC